TATTTTTATCTTAGAAAAGACCGTCCTCATCAAAGGATTGGAATTCCTGCTACACATTACACGGTCCTCTTTCCAGTCAGTTTTATCATGCCTTATAAAGTAGTTCTCTTTGGGCAGTGAGAGATACTCAGTCGCAGTTTCCGGTGACGTCATATTATGACAGTAAATCTTTAAGGGTGTTTGCCTGTCAAACATTTCTGGGAATAACCAGTACTCGCCGTCGTTAGAGGAAGGGGAGCATTTCTTTATCTCAAAACAGCTGGCAGGATCTGTGTACGACAAATATATATTATGTACCTTCAATTAAATTCCATTCTTTATTGTCTTGAAACACGGTATAAAACTATTATATGTTGTGGGACGTGGAGACCGGTCCATCGAATGAAACGTATAAACTGATCGAGGTCCCGTGTCGCTGTAGGTGCTGGCACGAAAAAGATCTTCTCCCTGCTCAATGACCCGCAGTGCCGAGTATAGGACAAAGTTTACAGCTCTTCACCGGCAAGTGGTGGGTGAGAGTGCATTTCAATATAATAACCATAGGTTGCAACCACTATTGAAATACGAGCATTATAAATAATTATTTAATGGTGGAAAGAGTACATTTCAATATGATAACCATAGGTTTTAACCATAGGTTTCAACCACTATTGAAATACGACCAGTATTGAAAGAAAAGTTTCACGGCGTAATTTTTGATTTTTTATCCAAAATTTCACAAAAAATTGGATTTGGAGTGAAAAATATACAGAGTAATAATTAAAGTGTATGAATAAGGATGATTTTAGTGAGGCAGAATTTTGAACATCAAAGAAGATTTACAATTTCTTTATATTCTAGAAATTTATTATTTGCATAATTTTCAATGAAATCAGACCAAAAAAAAAAAAAAATATACCAATCCAGGCATCCTTATTTTGTTTGTAACATCTGTCCTTAAATGAAGATTCCGATATTTATTGAAATAATAATTTCAAAAGTGATTAAAATAATTATTTTGATACTGTTGCTGATAAAACTTCAAAACTAAAACCATAATTTAATCAATATTGAAATCTTTATTTCAAATGTGAACATTATTTCAATAGTGGTTGAAACCTGTGTTAGGTATTGAAATGAATCTCACTCACTATTGAAATAATTATTTCAATAGTGGTCGTATTTCAATAGTGGTTATTACCTATGTTTGTTATTGAAATACACTCTTAACCACTATTGATATAATCATTTCAATAGTGGTTGTATTTCAATAGTGGTTACTAACTATGTTTGCTATAGAAATGCACTTTCAACCACTATTGATATAATTATTTCAATAGTGGTCTTTATTTCAGTAGTGTTTGCAACAAGTATATTCTCTCGACCCAGGATAATAAAAAGAAATGAAGTGCAATCATGTGAGTAGGTAGGACAATATATTTTTCATTCAAAAAAATTAATTGGCAGAAAAGTTTCGAGACGGATCGAACAACTTTTCAAAAATGGCTCCCTGAAAATAATTTGAATTTATCTTCCATTATCCGTACATGTTGAACACTTTTTAATTTTTATCATAAAAATGTTTTATGTATATACTGTAAACCAACTTTTATTTGCGACGACTTTATTTCGCGATTTACTGGTGTAAAACTAGTTCGCTACGATTAATTTTCACGATCAAACCTTTTTTAAATCTGTTTTTAATAGACACAGAGACATTAAGAACTGGTTCGCGGCAAGAAATATTCGCGATGATGAGGCTCTCGCGAACTTCGCGAAAATTTCTAGCACGCTAATAAAAGTTGGTTTACAGTATTCATTTATGAGTTGCAGTTTACCTGTGAGGATGTTATTAACAGTAAAATCCAAAATGATTACTGATATAATCCACAATGGTATAGAGCTCCTCATGATTTATCTCAGAACAACTAAAACAACTGCATCGAACATGTATAGAGTCATGTTGTTATATAGAAAGTTTAGCAATGATCAATCATTAAAATAAACTCCGATGAAAATCGATTTACTGTCAGTTCTGTGTCTCATAGATTCATTTGGATTTACATTGACGGCACTGCAAAGCGAAGCATCCCACTCTTAGAGTATATCTATTGTATATGATTTTGACCCTCTGACCTTGACCATGAAGTTTTACCTACTTTTCAAGAATTTTAACATTACTTTAAATTAGTCAAAACCTTTGAAAGAGAAAAGATAGGGCTTTCTATGGAACGTCATCACTGCCTTATAGCATACAACTATGCATTTATTATGTCAATTTATCATTACGTGATGTGAACATATCTTTACGTTATGTCCATTTTTTATGAGATGATGTAAATATATCTTAACATCATGTCAATGCTGCATTACATGAAGTAAATACATCCTTTCATTATGTCAGCACTTCATAACTTGAAGTAAAAAAATCATTATGTGAAGTGATAATGTGTTTACATTGTGTTAAAACTTTATTGCATGAAATGAATTTTTCTTTACATCATTTCATTTCTTTAATATGTGAGGTCAAAATTGCATTACGTCAAGTAAATTGTGTTTTATAATTAAACTTATCATTACATGAAGTCAAAAGCCCATTCCTTTTTGAAAGTGTATATTTCTATTTTATCAAAGCATTATTACGTGATATGGATTTATCTTTATTTTACGGCAAGGGCATCATGATGTGAGGTGAACACATCGTACCTTTATGTCAGTGCTTTATTACGTGGTGTAAAAAGGGTATAACATAATGTGAACATATCTTTATATTACATCAATACTTTATTACATTATGTCAAAACTCCATTCCGTGATGTGGATATATAATTACGTTATGTCAACTCTTTCCTATGTGATTGAAAAATATCTTTATATTGTGTTAACTCTTTATCATGTTGATTCCAAAAGTTCATTAGCTGATGTTAAAAAACATTTACATTATCTCAAAGCTGTATATCTAGTATATAATGAATGTTGACGACCGTTTTTAATGACTGGTAAGAAGGGGGGGGGGGGGGGTCCTGATTGATTAGGACAAATTACAGGCACATAATATCAACCCCCCTCTTTTTCCAGACATAACTTGACTATAGAAAATGTAATGTTCATTGAAACTGTACAGCCCCCACCCCCACTTTTTGTTGAAGTATAATCCACTAAGGGTAATGAAATATATCTGGAAAAATATAGGACTGATCGAAGTTGGACCCTTCTCCCCGAAGTAGGATTTTCGGGCTTGCACTTTTTTTTCTTGGCTTGTCAATTTTTTTTCGGGTAAATGATTTTTTTTTCTGGCTGACCTCCTCTTTCAAAAAAAGATGCTACGTCACTGGAGTTAGTAATTTTTTTTTAATCATTCCAGGGCCAGAATTCTATTACAAAAATCTACCAGTCGCTCATCTAAATCAATTGAATATGCCTTAGTAAGCATGCATGGGCACATATCAGTGGCAGATATGGGAATCTTGAACAAGGAAGGGGGACGGTATATGTTGGAGACCAAGGGCGGAAAGCGGAGAAGCTCTCAGGCTTTATAGTTTTATAGAAAAAAGTTTTCAACTTAATTCAGCTAAGCTTACTGTGAAACTAATGCAATGTCCTTCAAAGTTTAAGACTTTTATTAAAAAAAAATTCAAAATAAACAGGAAAAAAAATGATTGCTGCACGACTCATAATATTTGATTCAAGATTTGTCAATCATTTGTCGCTTAAAGTTTTCATTTAAAGAGATGTCATTCCCAAATCGCTGAGAATCTCTTCTACGACAGTTTTCTCTCCCGCCATTTTTAGTGCTTGCGGAACGCGGAAAATACGTTATGCTCATATAAAGGCCGAGGATACCCGTGTTCGCATAACGTAATAGTGAATCGACATAATGTAGAAGAGTGCGCACAGTATGGCATGAGCTTTTCACATCAGTTAATAAAAACTAAGATCTCATGAAAAGTAAACATAACGAAATGCAAGTTGACGAAATATAATTGTAGGATGTGTTAATGTCATAAAGAGTTGACATAATGTAGAGGAAAGTTAACACGATGCAATAGTAGTGTGGGTTAATGTCATAAAGAGTTGACATAATGTAATGGAAGGTTGACACAATGGAATAGTAGTGTGGGTTAATGTCATAAAGAGTTGACATAATGTAATGGAAGGTTGACACATTGCAATAGTAGTGTGGGTTAATGTCATAAAGAGTTGACATAATGTAATGGAAGGTTGACACAATGCAGTAGTAGTGTTCTGCTATAAGGCAGTGACGGCGTTCCATAGCTTTCATTTAACACATGCATACTACCTGTGGTAAAGCTTTTCTAAGTAAAATATGAACTTTTATCTTGTGACTCTAACCTTGAAGTAAGACCTACTTTTCAAAAATGTTATTGCATCAGGCTGTATAAGGATTGATATTTTCAAGATCCGAAACTGTGCGATCATATCTAGAGAGCCAGATTTTGACATTTACATTTGAATTCTTTTCCTGCATTTTATCTGAAACAGTTTTCATTTTTTGTCACTACCCCCCCCCCCCCCCCTTTTAAGAAAAAAAAAATAATGAACACACATTACTACTGTTTACTTCAGAGGAGAAAAACATACTCCAACAAAATGTGTATTTAATTATTCCCATCTTTTAAAATGTTTACAAAGCATGATTTGATAACAGATTTTATAATAGGTGTTACAATGTAGCTTGAAATCAATTTAGATCCAAGGGCGGATCACTCCACTTGCAGACCCCAGTAACAACTCTTTAGTATGCAATGTAATGATGTTTCTTCTACAAGTTAAATAAAATCTAGATTTCCATTACACAAGGTTCTCAAAATATAAGGTTAGGATATGTTTTAAACCCACAAAGTATTGCTCAAAAGGTTTATCACTTTTCATGCAGATAAATTGATTGATTTAGTCAGGCAAGCTTTTTTAAAAAGCTATTACTTGTCTTTCCTTATAAATTTTGATTTAGAAGATATAGAGCTTTCATTATCGGCCGCACCGGCCGATCTATTTCACCGTATAAAACGGGTAACGCGGGGGAGTCGCTCAAAAGTATGGGGGAGTCGTTTTCAACGTATGGGGGAGTACATTTCTACCGCTTCGAAGACGGGAGAAAGGTAGGTCACGCTTTTTTTCCTCATTTGTAGCATTTATTTACAAAAATTATATATTGCACGGAAGGCAGCGATAGATAAGCTTTCAATAGGTCAAAAGTCCGGCACTCAAATACGTCTAGTATTCTCAAACACTTCGAAACTATTTCACAGATTTCATTTTCACGATGACTGAGTGGTCAAAACATCAATACTTTGCTAAACCTACGACTTGAAAGTTGGTTTATGCAGTCGAAACAGCAAAATTAAACATCTATCTCTCACCTGCAACTATCAAAACTTTCCAAACCCCAAGAAAAATAAGTAAACGGGACATTTTTTTCTTCACATAGTTAATTTTACGTAAGGGGGAATCGTTTCTGAAAAAAACACAACGTATTGGGGAGTCGCAAAAAACTTTATTTAATGTTAAAGTTTTGCATTTTGTTTAAGTAGCGCGGTTAAAATCGCAAATACAAGAAAAAAACCAAACCGCGCACCATAGTTTATTAACCTGATAGTCTATATATAGTGATTCCGTCCTTGTGCTTAGAGATTATATCTTTATATATATACTTATAAAATTAATTTTTGAAAATCTATTTAACTGTTTATTTAGTTCTTTTCTATTTTTAATTTGTTCATAGTGCAGTGACCTGAATTTATAAAATAATTTTTATTGAGTAAATCTCTGAGATTTAAACTGGTTTGACAAGTTATTCGAATAACATTCACGATTCACTGTGAGAGAACGTGTTCGAGAGAGATTCGTGTAATGGTAAGAATATTTTGTAAACTGTCTATTAATTTTGAAATGTACCAACTATTATATCCTTTTTAAGTTCAGATAAAAAGTACCGGCATTTCATTTATTTAAATGTAGAGTCGATACACGTATTAACAATATTACATATATAAGTAACAGGGTGTGAGGTCGTCATAATTGTGGGTAGGGGGGATTTATTAAAGAGACATCTCATTACTTGCATACAATATTGTATATTTCTTCTTTTCTTTTTATATAGATGGATATTCAGGAAATAACAATAGAAGTAAAGACATCTTTGTTCCAATGTGGAATATGTGGAAATAAGTACAAGTCGAAAGGGACTCTAAAAAGGCATTTAGGATATCATGCAGATCAGGACAAAAAATTCATTTGTAATCAATGCGGCAAAGAGTTTAAGCATCGATATCTATTACTTCGTCATGAAAAAGTTCATGCTTCAATAAAAAAGAAACATATTTGTGAAGTATGCGGTAAATCATACTCCAGTACTGGGGCTTTAAGCGATCATAGAAAATTTAAGCACTTCAACGAAGGCTTTTTATGTAATAAATGTGATAAGAGATTCAAAAATGCATATCACCTACGAAGACATATTGCAACACACAAGGATGAGAAAGATGGTTGTAAAAAGTTTGGTGGTTTTTTTCGACAACTGAAGAAACACGAAAAAACATGCTGCAACACATCTAGAGAGGCAGTGGAAAGTTGTGAATTATGCGGAAAAAAATTTCTAGAAAAGAGATATTTGCAGGAACATATCAAAAACAAGCATAACTCCACTGGTATTCCTTGTGGAAAATGTGAAAAAACATTCCGGAATAGGAAATCCCTCCTAAAACACAGAAAAATGTGCACGTCTGGTGCTGAACTAATGTAGACATCCAAAAACATACTTGTAGTCGATATAAATGGAAAACATCTTTATTTTTTCATGCCAGGCAGCATTCACACTACATTATATTACATACAGTTATACAAGTTTGTTCACAATAATGTTGTTCTTTCTTATTTTCTTGCTGTTTTCGCAAATAAAAAAATCATATAAAAAAAAGATTTTGTGTTCTTGTAATTTTCATCACTTCGATTAACAGTTTTTAATGGAGGTTAAACAGAAAAAACACATTTGGATCTTGCTGAAGTGAGTGTTTCTGTTCACCCGATGTCCATCGTCTGTCAGTCTACCTGTATGTAAACTTTTCATATATTAAGGTTTTTATCAAGAGATACAACACAAATTTTAATCAAAGTTTTGAAAGGTCATTCTTGAGTAAAGGACTGTTTAAATTGTAAAAAAGAAGGAACAAGCCCCTTTTCCAAGGAAATATAATTGAGAAAAGGCAAAAATATGGTGTGGCTATTCAAAAAATAAAAAAAGTACCTGAAGTAGTGTAGTTTATAAATTATTCAATATATGGCCCCAAGGGTTGGTTGGGACCCTAAAAGAGAATCAAATTGTCATATCAAAACGCATTTTAAACAAATTCTTTAAAAATCAGTCTTCTTAGTAACAATCTGAAATATTTATTGTATTTTTTAGGTTGTGCAGATTCTAAATTATTCAAAATATGACCCCTTGGGGTACGGTGGAATCTAAGTATTACAAGGGGGGGGGGGGGTTCTGGCAGAGAACTCAGGCGAGCGTTGTGACCCATGGATCTATTGTTAGTTTTAGAAATCAACTGATATTCTTAATCGTTTTGTCGGCAATATTTTCGATTCGTCTTTTCTATGGTACTGCCGGACAGACAGCGCTCCCCTAGATGGTTCACTTGGATTTGATATGCTTCCAAATTTTATTTTCCGAACAACATTTTGCCTTTCAGGTTCATCAAAATGGTGGTCTCTACAAAAAATCGAATAACTTAATCTACATTTAAGTATTGTATCTAAGAAAAGAAAATGCTTACTCTAATTTAAAATTTTCATATAATGTACTGTATACCTAAAAGAGTTACATTAATATTATATTACTACTGTTGTTTATTTTGCATTTTTTTTTTATTTAGAAGAAAGGCCTTAAGTTATAGAATGAGAACGCTTAAAATATCATAACATGCATTTAGAAGCATAAGTGGAGTACAATTCATTTTTAAATAATTACCTCGGAACGATGTTTGACGAAATATAACAGACTGGTGAAGAAGAACACTGGTCGGTTGAGATATCCATTCTTGAAACCTCGCCTTCATGAACTGGGTATACACCACTAGATTTTGATGTTCGCATGTAAAAGCCCCTGTTGAAGTATATATATAAAAATTACAATATTTCTTTTGATTCTTTTTAATTGCATATTTAATAATATATTTTTTAAATGTATTTTAATATAAAAAAATCTAAGCATCATTTCATATACCTATCTGTATTTATTTTGCATGTCATAACATCCACTAATGTGTTCATAAGGGCTGGAACATCCCTGGCCTTTATGGATACCTGACTGACTGGACTAGGGGATTGCAACACTCCAACAGTGGTCTCTGCAGCCAGGGAACCGACGCATCTAACATTGTACGAACCAGTTATTCCATACATCTGTGTGTCTATGTCAATACACATTCCTTGAAATGTTACAATTGGTATGCCATTGATATAACGCCTTTTTGGAGGAAATTTTCCAAAGTCGGTATCATCTAGCAAAAATTTCCGCATATCTTTCAGGTGTTGAATTCTTTCTTTGGATGAAATGCCTGGCGAATCGCTTGCCTCATACCATTTCCTTATTATTCTCGTCAGTTTTCCTGCTTCTTCAAAGTTGTTCTCTAGTAGCCATGTTTCCACTTCGCTAGAAAAATGCGTCCTAGCATTAGGGACACTTTGTTTGTCAATAATGTCCTCAACAAGTGGTACCTTTTAAGGCGGTTGTATTAGATCTGGCGCAAGCCTTCCAGCCCTCACTTGTTACACTGCCAAATCCGTTTGTGCATGTAAGCACTCTAAGATGCGTCAAGTTATGAGAGCAATCTAGACTCTTGCACAAGATTTCCCCTGAACTTCTATTAAGCTCTGGATACGAAAACCAGAAAGGAATATTACTTTCAAAACCTTCTACCTTAACATTTATACCAATAGGGGAATCATTTTGCCACTATTTTAACATTGATGGAAACAAATATGAAGCATATGCGGCAGATAAAGCCAACTTGGGATACTTTTTAGACTGTAAAACTTGAATAGTAAGCTGATGTAGTGGTTTTACAATCTTTCGTTTGGATTTACGACGAAATTGTTCATGATTTATCTCATTTATTCCTAGCAGTGCTCCAAGAATTTCA